ATTAGCTAAGGGTTTATTGATTTTATTTATTCTTTCATAAAACCAACTCTTTGTTTTATTTATTTTTTGTATCATTTTCTTAGTTTCCATTTCATTGATTTCTGCTTGGATCTTTATAATTTCCTCTCTTGTTGGAGCTTTGGGTTTTTCTTGCTTTTGTTTTTCTAGGAGTCTAAGGTTCATCATTATGATGTTTATTTGAGCTCGCTCTGTTTTTCTAATGTGTGCATTTAGTGCTATGAATTTTTGATGTAGAACTACTTTCATTGTGTCCCATAGATTCCTGTATGTTGTATTGGCATTTTCATTTATTTGTAAAAACTGTCAAATTTCTTCTTAGTTTCCTCTGTGATCCATTGATTGTTCAGGAGAATGTTGTTCAATTTCCATGTGTTTGTGAAGTTCCTACTGTTTCTTGTGCTATTGATCTCCAGCTTGATTGCACTGTGATCTAATAATATACAGGAGGTAACTTTGACTCTTTTGCACTTATTCAGACCTGTTCTGTGAGCTAGTATGTGATCTATCTTAGAGAATGACCCATGTGCAGCCAGAAAGAATGTATATTCTGATTTTGTGGTGTGGAACACTCTATAGATGTCTATTGAGTCCATGTGTTCAAAAGCTTGGTTCAGTGCTATTATTTCATTATTGATTTTCTGCCTATATGATCTGTCTATTTGTGATAGTTGGGTATTTAGATCCCCCACTACAATTGCATTAGTGCTTATTTGGTTTTTCATGTTATTTAATATTTGTTTTATATAGTTGGGGGCATTAATAATTACTGCATATATGTTTATGATTGCCATCTCTTCCTCTTGAAATGTTCCCTTTACAAGGGTGTAGTGGCCTTCTTTGTCTCTCAATGAGTTTTGGTTTGAAATTTACTTTGCAAATAAGATCACTACCCCTGCTTTTTTCTGGGTTCTTGTTACATGGAGAATTGTTTTCCATCCTTTCAACTTCAGTCTGTAGGCTTTTTTTGCACTGGGTTTGTTTCTTGTATACAACATATTGTTGGATTTTGCTTAATCCATTCTGCCAGTCTATTTTTGTTGACTGGTGAATTGAGGCCATTGACATGGATAGTTATTACTGATATATACTGACTTCTTCTTGTCATGTTATTGTCCTTTTGTTGACTCTTTTTATTTCCCCCCCCTTTCCTTTTAGTTTCTTGCTTTGACTATTTGATTTGGTCTGTTGGGCCTCATGGTATTGTGACCTTCATTGTCTTTTTTCTAGGATATTGTTTAGAATTCCCTATAGTGCTGGTTTGGTGTTCATGAAGTTTCTCAGGTGTTCTTTATCATGGAAGTATCTTATTTCCCCATCCAGTTTGAGAAAGAGTTTTGCATGATACATTAGTGTAGGTTGGAGGTTGTTTTCTTTTAGGACTTGAAATACCTCACTCCAGGCTCTCTTTGACCTGAGGGTTTGTGTTGAAAAGTCTGCTGTGATTCTGATGGGCTTCCTTTCCATGTGATTTGTTTCTTTTCTCTTACTGCTTGTAGTAATTTGTTCTTTTGTTGGATTTCTGGGATCTTGATTATTATATTTCTAGATGTAGATTTTTTTTTAATCGTGGGTAGTTGGAGTCCTATATGCCCTCACTTACCTGTATGTCTAATTCTTCCCTTCTGTTTGGGTAGTTTTCTGTCATTAATTCTGTGGAAAGCTTTTTTAAGTCATTTGTATTTTCTCCTGATACTTCATGGATTCCTATCAGTCTTATGTTATTCTTCTTTGCAGCATCTAGGAGTTCTTGGATCAATTTCTCATGATCTCTTAATGTTTTTAAGAGACCTCTCTTTTCGTGGTCACTGACTGCAATCCTATCTTCTATATCTTCTAAATTCTATTTTGGCAATTTTTTATTCTGTTGTGGACACTTTTTTTTTAAATAGAGTTTTTAGTCTCTGGATATCTGTTTGAATCTGTTTTATGGATTCCATTTCTTTCCTCTGTTGGGCATTCATGTTTTCCATTTCTTTCTTATGCTGAGCCTTCATGGCTTCTATCATGGTCCTGAGCTCACCTATTTTTTTCTCAGTTTCTCTTCCACAATCTCGAATCATGACTTCCATTTTGCTTACCATCTCTATGGTTATCTGGGAAATTATTTCTGTTTTGAATTTTTCTAGAGCCCGATTGATCTGTTTTATTACTTCCTCTGCTATGGGTTCAGGGTGTCCTGCTGGTTCACTATCAGACTTGTCATCCTCATTTGTCCTACTGTTTGCCATTGGTGAACTGGAAGTCTGTCTTTGTGTCTTGCTTAAGAGTTTTCTCATTTATTTTTGTTGTTGGGTTATCCTTGGTTTAATTTCTGGGCTATTACTTAAATCTTCCTGATATAGTTGCTCTTTAGCTTTTGAGTCTCTAATGACTCATAGACATTCTCATTTTCATAATATCAGAGAAATCAACTCATTAAATCAATCACAATCCTTTATCCCAATTGATACAATCAGCAGCACAGTAGGATCAAGCATAACTTGCAAATTGTACACTTGTGGTAGTCATTAATCTATCACCTTTTAAGCATGTTAATTAAATTAAATCATGAAGCTGCCCAAAATATGTTTGCAGTGAATACACTTTTCAATATAGCATCTTTACCACTTAGGATGGGGGCTTAGACAGAGTTAGGATGAGAGGAGTAGATAAGTGAAAGAATTGGAGAAGGTTTCAAGTGAAGCCAGAGGACATAGAATGACCATACAATCTTTATGAAACTATTAAATTCAAAAGGGATAGGCAGAATGCTAGGATAAGAACAAGAATATATCCCTTAACAGTAACAGGGGCTCGCTTTCCCTTGAAACTACTGACCCATGAGTGAGGTAAAATGACAGAAGAAAACTATGTAAAGAAAAAAGAAAAAAATGATAAAAGAAGTCTGAGTTAGGGTAGGAGCCAGAACAGAAAGGGAGATGAGGGATAGTATAGAGATAGCAAGAGACTGAGTTGGAGAAAGAAGATAGCAAAAAGAAATAATTTGCAGAGTGGAATGAGGAAAAGAAAGAAAAAGAGAATTTGAAGGGCCTCTTTCAGACTATGTCTCTGCTGTCATAATAAAGCACATGCACAGCCATATGCAGAACCAAGTCCCCTGATCTCAGCTAGCCAATGGCAGATCCCTGTGACTCAGATTGACCTCAGGTCACAAGGTCCAAATTGAGTTCACCAATCTGCATTGTTGAACTCCACACAGTTCTGTTACAGATTTCCCCCATCCTTTCTTTAAAGATGTTAGAAATTAGAAGTTCAGAAAAATAACCTTTATGAACACCTATGCCTCTGCTGAGGGGGTAAAAGGACTGGCCCAATCGGGAGGTCTGAACGCTGGTGGGGGGGTTGTAGGGTTATTTCAGGGTTGCCTGCTTGGCTATCTTCCTTGCTGGAGGTGGTGGCAGAGCAGGCAGGGGAGGGCACGGCTACCTGGTCCCTTGGAATGGGTCCAAGCAGGCTGGCAGGAGAGATCTCAGGGATGCCTTCCAAATCTCGCCTCTCTAGAGTGTTTTTAATTGTTTGTGGGTTCACAACTGCTCATACTGAAACAAACAGCAAGTTACTCTTCTTTCATTTGAAAAAAAAAAGTGATCTTGAGTATACAAGTTGGGAGTAATTAAAGCCAATAAATTTTCACACGGAATAGAAATTATATAAGCAAGTGATAACTCAAACTAAAGTATACAGCTTAGCAAATGCACACATGTTAAAGTATATCATTTATTTTATATTTTATTCTGCTTTTCCATTTCTTCATCTATCACTCAAACATAGTTCTGTTACATGCATTTTAAATATATTTAATATTTTCAATGTTTAAATAATCTATTATTTACATTGCAGACTAATTCCATGCTAGTATGCAAAAATTAAGTTGCTAAGATATCCAATTCACAAACAGGTAATTTCTTTATGATTTTTGCACCATTTTCTGCAGATTTTATACTGGGAATTAAGATATACAGTAAATAGAACAAACTCATGACATGAGAGCTAAGAAATTTAATGTTACTACAGCATGGTTATAAGGTACCGCAAACATTAAAATATATATATTATTTTAAGCCAGGAATGCTGCTTAAAGAATATTTCCAAGGGGAACAGTTAAATTCTTAGTGAAAGAGATTGGAATTGGGATTACTTGGCTAAGATAGTGTCTTCCATATTATTACAAAGTGACTAACTTTTTCCTTTCAATTGTCTAGTTTTGAAAGTCAGTCACTAAATTCAGTGCAGACTCAAAAAATGTTATGATGGGAGAGAGAGTCTGAGGTCTGACTTCTTGAGAGGAGAATATATACATATATTATTTTGAATTCTTTCACAGGGAAGAATTAAGGGAAGAGATATTTCAAAGAGGAGGTGTGATCATACTCTACTGTGAAATTTATGTTGGTGAGTAACTAAAATCTTCACTGATTCAGACATGCTTAAAGTCAGGGTTAATTTAGGAATAACAATTTCAAGTTAATTGCAAGGTTGAAATCCAGATGAGTGAGAAGCAATTGTGTGGTAAAGAGGGATTAAAAATGGCACATATAGACACTTCATTGTAGATATTCATCTAGGTGGAGCTATAACAAAAACACTATAGTCCAAGATCCATGTGACAATGTGACAATAAACTGTTTTTATTTTAGTGACATTGTGTTCTGTTAACATGATTCTCAGTTTTAGTCCAGTGTTTTAGAGGCTTTAATCATTGGAGAATAAAGCTTTTAGAATCATCATCATTATTAAATTCATTTAATTTAAATCACAAAAATATCACAATTCAAAGTCGTTATAACAGATTATTTTTTACCTTTTAATCCTTTGCATGAAAGTGATTTCTGTAATATGAGAAGCAGATCCAGAAAAAAAAAAGATTATTATTTGGAGTCAGTATGTAAGTACTATTCCTATAATTCCAGTAGTAAAAGTCAAGTCTAAGTAGGTGATGTGGCCCTTTTCCATGCAGCCCCACTCGCGTGCACTGGCAGTTAATGAATTTTGTCTTCACAATTACAGCATGCTTGGCAATGGTTCTTGACCACTGGATGATTACAGGTCACTGCTTTTTTCAAATCCTCACAGTTGGAATATTTATCTTCATAATCACAACCATTGGCTGAAATAAAAATAGAACAGTCACTGCATTATCACTGTTCTCCGCAGCAGACACAGGAGCAACAAATTCAGTAAGAATGAGGAGGAGAATGTGAGCACAGGTTGACATTATTACACTGTGATGACAATTTCATGTTTTGAGGAACACATAAAACCCCTTAGTTAAATTCTGAGTGATCTAGTGATTCATTTTAAATTTGAATTTTTTGAAATGTTGCTAAGGTGAATGATCTTTTTTTCCTCTCTTAAACAAGTTTAATAAAACTAGGTGAGTCTTTAGAACTGCACTAAAAATCATATCCACTGGTTCTTTCAGTGTGCTTCTTTCAGTTAAAACTTAATAAAAACTAAACTTTTATGTTCTTAGCAACATCAATTACATCCCAACATATCTAGGAGCTACTCTACAGGACAGTGAAAATGGTAAACATTTTCATCATTGTAGAGAGTTATATTGGATAGTGTCATTCTAAATCTAGACTCTCAGGCCACCTGAGTTTCTTATAAGCGATCTATGAGAAGACAGAGATATGGAAATGTAAAAGGTGGAAACACCATCAATATGATTATTGAATGTCCCTCAGTGGCCTCAGATTTAATAATTCTGTCTAAATTCACCATCCTTAACATAACTTTAATATTCAACCCCACAACCCTCTTTTGAATGCATCTAGTCTCAGAGAAATGACTCAAAAATACTAACTAATTCAAACAAAGAGTGAAGAATCACTAGGAACTTGTTTTCTACTTTGTGTTTTCTGAGATGGGCTTTAGTGTATTGCTCACTCTTGTACTCAAATGATCCTCCTAATGATCATCCTCTCAGTAGCTGGGACCATAAGTGTGTATCATTCATGCCTAGCTGTCTGTCCTTTTCTTCAGCACTCACAAATACAAGTAATCAAACATAATTATTCAACTTTCTTCCTTTTTTCATATCTATTTTTCTTCTCATTCTTTTTGATCTAATGTAGTAAAGTTACCAATTTTTAAAGTCCTAGCTCCTACCTGACTTTCTTCTTTTGCTTCTTCCTACTTTCTAGCAGCTCTAAAACACAATTCTGACATGGATACTTTTATTTAAAATCTTTCAATTGACTATTCATTACAAATAGGACTGATTACAAATTGCTTACCAAAATAATTCATCAAAGCTGTGTATTCTTGGCTTTTTCTTCTTTGGTAATTTATGGCTTTCATATCATTTTTATTTTTTTACTAGTGTATGTTAATACCACAAAATGAGGTTGGATGTGGATGATTGGTATATGCATAAAACATGTATTTATCCCTTTCAATCCTATTATCCCCTCTCTCTTTTCCCGTACTCTCAGTCCCATTTTAGATATTTAAAAGTGTATGTACCCTCTAGTTTCCTGTTATTTCACATATAATTAATTTAATTGATTTTCTTATAAAAGAAAACATATTTAACTTAATGGATTTGACTTATTTTATTTAACTTAATGGTCTGCACTTCTCTTTGTATTTCTGCAAATGACATACTTTCTTTTATCTTAATATCTAAATAACATTACACTGTATGTATATCTTTGATTTTCTTTATTCATCCATCCATTTATGGACATCTCATCCATTTCCACTGCTCAACTATTGTGAACTACTGTGCAATAAACACAGGTATTGTGCAACACAACAGCACTATTTTTATTCTTTTAGAAATATACCTAGGGCTGGATCCGTTGGATAGAACAGTATTTATCTTTTTAGTTTTTGTGGAATCTCCATACTGAATTCTATAACGCTTGTACTAGTTTGCATTCCTATCAAAATTGTAGGATGTTTCTTGTTTCTCAATATTTTTACTTGCAGTCATAGCTTTTCTTTTATTCTTGATGATACCATCAATATTCTAAATTATAACTGTCCAAGTACACAAAAGAGAAAGAATGTTGTACTTCAGTCAGGGGTATGCATTAGAAGGATCAAAGTCACAACGAATAAATCAACTCTTTTCTTCATAACAATTTTAATAGTAAGTATGTCCCAATAAAATAAAAATATTCTCTGTAGTTCTATTCATAATACTGTGAATGAGATACTGTGTGATATTTAATTTACTTTCTCTTCGCAAATTATTTTTGAGGCTTTTGTGAACTAATGCTATATATGAATTTGTTTGACTTAAAATTTACATAAAAATACTAGTAACCAGAACTGCTAGCAGTTGTCAAATTTGATGATTCTATGTACATTGTAGAGGAATTTATTGTGTAAATTTATTTGTACATTAGGAATTGCAAAATCTGTGTCTTTCTGCACCAAGCCATATTCTAACAGTTCTAACCAATTCAATTTTGTTTTCTGTTTTAACAGTGGCAACTTTGATTTTAATACATTGACCCTAATGACAAGAAAATCTGCATTTAGGTATAATGGATTATTTCCCTAGAAACATTTTCATGGATGCCATATGTAAAAGAGATCATTATTATAAAAAATGTGGATTTTGGATGTTTCTTTCAGTTACTGACATAATAGGCTTTTCGCTGAAAATAATACATATATAAAGAAAAGTGTAAAACTTGTACTTGTGTTTTTTATGCCTTTAAGTTGCTTAAATTCAGAAAATTTTCTAATTTATAAAGTGTTTGTCACATAATTCTATGAACTAGCAGGTTAATTCCTTCAAACTTACTGCAAAGTCCGTCCTCACAGTGGCCAGGGCAACTGGCACAAGGGGCTCCTTGCTTGTAAGGGGTATATAGTCTTCTCACATTATTGCCACTGAAAGTTGAAAGGCAAAATGTCAACTATATTATTCTAAACTTTCCTGTTTAGGTTACACTTATCACCATCACTAAGTAAAGGTTTTTAAATATTTCAAATAATTAAAAATCTAACATTCCCCCATGAATTCAAATGACAATGCCAAGTAAAATAATAATTCACAGATTCACTTCTTTGCTTAATCATAATCTTGGAACATATATAACTGAAATAGGACAATCAGAGCCTAAAGTTATCAATGTGGCTAAGGCTTCTTAATTTCTCAATAGACTCGATCAAATTGCTAAGATGGCACACCACAGGTGCTTTCTAAGATAAAACATATTCCCTGTGGAGAAGATGATTCTAGAAGACAGACAGATATAGTAGAAAAAAAATTAATGCTTCCTTTAAAATTTAATTTTGTAATTAAAATTCAAAAAATTCTATAAGATGAAGCAGTATAAGTAAAGCTGCAGGGAAATTTTGACTTTGTGGTGGGAGTGACTCTTCAGGAATTTTTGGTATATGTTTTTGAAAGAGGTTGTGTTTAGACTGGTTTGGAAATGTATAATGGTGATGTGAGTATGTGCATGAGATTTTTATGTTTATAAAAATAGAAATGTTATTTAGAAAAGAAAAGATTTTATTAACAACAGTGTACACAGTATGTTGATCTTATAATGCCCAGATTGTACTCCTCATGATTGGTATACTACTGATCATTATCATCTGAACATATAAGGGAGTCAAATTCTTGATTGCACCAAATGGAGCAAGAGACGAAGGCAAGGCAGGTATATATTTCTCCACACAGAATGTGTGAGCAGCTACAAAACTGTGAAATAAATACGAAAGTGTTGTAGAAGTTCTTTCTCTTTTCATTTATTTTCTATTCAACTCTCATTTCAGATGCCAGGCTCCAGATGTACTTTTTTTTTTGTACTGGGGATTGAACTCTGATCTTTGTGCTTACAAGGCAGAAGGTGGAACCACTGAGCTAAATCCCTGGCCCCGGTAGTTGTCTTTTGACCACGTAGGCACTCAAATTATTCTTACAGGGGGTTTAAATTCTTTTTCTTTAGCACTGATAAGACTTACTGGAAAATTAATTCAAAACTTCTGAAACTAAAATTCCACATCTGAGTTATCTACAGTCTCAAAGTGAGTCATGTAAGAAGCTTAGTAGCTTTGATGTGGTGGTGCACCCCTGTAATTTACTTCGGAAGTTGAGGAAAAAGGATACCCACCAGTTTGAGGCCAACCTGGGCTACATCATGAGTTCAAGGCCAGCCTGAACTAAAAAATAAAAGTGAGACTCTGTCTCAAAACAGAGAGGTGGGTGGGGGAGACTTGCTTGGTTAAGTGAGACCCTCTGTCAATAATGGTAAAAAATGTCATGTATGGAAAAGAAATTAAAACTAACAGATCTATATTAATATATCGATGTTAATATAAATTTATTACATCTGTAGGATATTTTTGAGGAAAGTTCAAACATGCTTTGAGGAAGGGATGGATTTCCGGCTATAAATTAAGATCTGAATTGATGCATTCTTCAGATTTTTGTAATGAATTCTGAGATGCAAAGGTTTAAGGAGTTATATATAATTTACTTTTTGAAATATAAAATTTTATATATCTACTAAAAAGCCCATAAAGCCCAATTTAATTATTTCTTAATGGTATAAAGTAACAATTTAATTAAACAAGAATATGAACATTGGAATAGGTGTTGCTAGAATCACTAAAATGAGTCATTACTCATTTGCCACTCACCTTTACCTTGATCTAAAACAACATTTCACTTTCTAGTGTGTGATTTTAGACAATAAAAATCTAAAAGACTATACACTGCCTGGATCTCACAGGTTAATCCTGAGTCCACATACCAGCAATAGATAGGAAAAACAATTTTAGCCAAATGGAAAGAGCTTCTGAATGTTACTTCTGTAACTGAGAAAATAATTTTTCTAAGAATTTGGATAAATATGCCTCCACTTTTGAAAATCTTTCTAAGCATTTATTTCTCAATGGTGCTTTTCTAAAATATGCTTTGTTGTATTTTTTATTACATGAAAATATTAACTTGCATTTGACATTACTGATGGTAAACTCTAAAGTATATACTTACGCAGGGCAATAATGGCAAACCATGAAGTATCCTAAAGCTGGGTTGCTAGGACAGTGGGAAATTCCACATCCGACACGGAAAGAGGAGTACCAAACAACCTGCACACTCACAAGGGAAGATTTGAGAGCATATAGAAGCATATGTCATAAAAAGAATGATACAAGGTACTCTGTTTCCATACATCTTATACACAGTTAAATTATTGAATTAAATTAAAAATATTAAATTTCACTACACATTCACTTCTTTATTTTTTAGATTATTAAAGAAATCTAAAAATGTACTTCTTTACCAAGATCCCACAGGCTATTAAGAAATAATAGTGCAAATACCCAAAAAGTACTGAAGCTACTCTATACCCACAGAAAAATTTCCCTCAAAAATGTCAATCTGGAATCAAATCAAAATTTAGACAGGATTTCCTGTTAGGTTATTTGGGACAGAGGATATTTCATTAATTTTTCTTACCTGAGTATAGTGTCCAATTACTGCACTGGATGTCTTTGGTCCTACATTGAAAATAAAATTTTCCTCCTCATCATACCACAGTTGGATTGCAGATGACCATGAATAGGGAGCACTCGACATGAAGAGGTTCTCACCACAGCTTACATCTAAGAGGGAACAGATCACTCATGAGGAAAGCAGTGAGGAACATAACAGGACTCCCACACATGCACTAACAAGGCAGAGTCCCTGGTCTCTAAACACAGTACCCAGCGCTGCTGCTGTTGGAAATTCATATGCCTCAAAACCTTCACAGCTACAAACTGAACACCAGCCAGATTTGATCAGTGCATGTGGTTTGGCCTCAGCATGCAGAGCTGTGAGTAGACAGGGAAGTCTTTTCTAATGTCTGCTCTCCTAGGACTCATTCACTTACATATTAAATTCTTCGCATATATAAAATATGCCTTGTATGTGCTCAGCTTTTTGTTGGAAACTTACTGACTCCTCTAATTTCTCTCC